GTGTGTGTGTGTGTGTGTGAGTGAAGAGACTTCTCACTGTTGGTGTGTGTGTGTATGTGAAGAAACTTCTCACTGTTGGGGTGTGTGTGTGTGTATGTGAGTGAAGAGACTTCTCACTGTTGGTGTGTGTGTGTGAGTGTGAAGAGACCTCTCACTGTTGGTGTGTGCATATATGTGTGTGTTCCTGCATGCGAGTGTTCTTGTGCTATCCAGGATGGGGTGCTGGCTGGCCTTCCCATTGAATGTGTGCTGTGACCTTGACCTGGGCAGTCCATGGCCCCCTCACACCATGCTCTGCTTTTAACCTCTGTGCAGATTTGGAGGCTGATATGCGGAAGAATAATTTGCCTTGACTTGAAAGACGCTTTCTGTAGTGGTCTTCTCATTTATAACTTCAGAATATTTGAAAGAAGATACGGAAGCAGGAAGTTCGCAGTAAGTTATTCCATGGTTTAGCGTTTTCTGAGGTTCCAGAATGAAATGACCGTATCTGGTTTCCTCATTTGCATATGTGCTACTTCCTGGCTCTCCTGTGTACTAGGCAAGTGCATTTTACCACCCAGCTACATCTGCAGCCCTTGTATTTTACTTTTTAAACTTGGAAGTAAAGTCTTGCTGATTTGCTTAGCCAGGCCTCTGGATCATAGATGCATAACACTGTTCTGGGCCCTTATTTTAAAAATGCCTTCCATTTTTAAAAAACTTAGTATGTTATTTATAATTATTGCTTAAATTACATGATTCTAGATCTGATTTGTGACTTTGACGTTAACCAAAAAAAAAAAAAATTAACTTTAAGCCAATAGCATGATAAAATAATGAAATGATAGTGATGATAATACAAGAGATTAAGGTATGTCAGTAATAACAATTTTAATTAGAAATTTATCTAATGAAATGTTGTCACTTGTTTGGCTTAGTAGTATGTGTGCTACTTATTAGCACTATGTTTTGATTAAATGTCTTTTTTAATATATCTAGAAATTGTAGAAGCTAATACATATGAACAATTATGGCTTATCTCTGGTCTACAGAGTGAGTTCCAGGACAGCCAAGGCTATACAAAGAAACCCTGTCTCAAAAAAACAAAACAAAACAAAACAAAAAATAGCCAAAAGTAACAAAAATAAGTAATATAAAAATAAGCTTATGCGTGTATTCATATGTATGTAATATATATGTCTATCGGTGTACACCTGTGTATATAGACTGTGCTCAAACCCCCATGCCCTAGCTCATGCTAACTAAATAATAACTGTTACTTAGTATTTTAGGTAGCTCACTTTCATTTATCATTTCACTTTTAGTCCTTCTTGCTGGGTTCCTGGGTCTTGTCAGCCTTGTTTGACTTTATCCTCGTGGAAGCCGTGCAGTATTTGTTTGGTGTCACTGTGGCCAGCAATTTACCTTCTGGATTGTAAGTAGCTCACTGTTATTTAGGATTCTTAAATCTATTTGAAATGGTATCGTTCACAAACTCTCACCAAAAGTCTTTTAAGCTGGCCACACCTTTAGTCCAGGCACTCAGGAGGCAGAGAGAGGTGGATCTCTGATTTCAAGGCCAGCCTGGGCTACATAGCGAGCTTCAGGCCATCCTGAGTTACAGTGAATTCGATTCTGTCTAAAATCCAGGACTTTATACTTTCAGGTAGGTATGTGTGAAGAGAATGCAGTGTGTGCTTACATATCCCCATGTCCTTCAACTGATCAGTTTCACAATAATTTCCATTTTCTTTTTAGCTCTAACATTATTCCATAATTTTAGTTTGTTTATTGGAGACAGTGTCTCCTATGTAGCCCAGGATGGTTTCTAATTCAGATTTTTCTGCTTCAGGCTTTCTAAGTACTAGGATAATAAGCTTATAACCCTGAATTCCTTGAGATTTAATTTGTTTTGTGTATTTTTATAGTGATATTTTGCTGTTGTAGTTTTATGAGCTAATTAAATGCAAAAATCCAAAATTAAATGTACTGAAGTTATGTTTCTGAAGAAATTTGTAGATTACCATTTCTATTTTTCCGTAAAGGTAGAACAAAGTTTGTGTACAGGTAATAGCTTTGTGCTTCCCACAGTGACAGACCAGCCTGGTTGTACCTCCATATGGTGTTGATCTTCACATAAACTCATACTCACACACATACACACACTCTCATACACATCACACATTCTTAGATACATACTCACACTCACATATATACATTTACACACACACATACACACATACTCAAACACACTTTCACACTCACATATGCATACTCTCATACATATCACACACATCTTACACATATGCTTACACTCATATATACATTTTCATACACATACACACATTCCTACACACCACACACTCTCCCTCACACACTCATATACACTCTCATACACACATACACATATACACACACATTCACACACATACCCATTTCTATACACATATACACATGTTTATAACTTTTACACACACACACTATAAAAATCAATGTTAAAGAATGGAAACAACTGCCATAGCTATGGTAGAATTAAAAAAAACTAAGAACCAAAAACCAAAACCTTGAAATCTCCACTTTCTTCAGAATAAGGGTCAGAGTCCTCATGGGCCACCTGGAGTGGTAGGAGGAGCAGCAGTGTGGTCATGGCCCGCACAAGGCTGGGTTCCAGCTGTGCCACTTGGTAGTTTTAAAGACCTTATTAGACCTCATGCAAGTGCCTGTGAACTTGGTTTGTAGCTGGCCCTCCACTCATGGGTTGGAGGCTCTGCTACACAGGCTGTGAAGAGGTGAAGTAGGTGCCTTTACTAGCAGCTTGTAGTAGCAACTCCGTTTGATTCCCTTCTTTTCTTGAGCTCCTGTCCACCCTTTCTAGCCCCCCCAACCAGCTTGCTCTTGGCTACCTCTTGCCATTGAGTAGAGGTGCTCAGGCTTTTGTGTTCAAGGTTACAGCAGATGTTTTATTAATTCAATTAATATTTCTTCCATGCATTTATTTTTATGTCATTGAATTCTTGTCATCAACCGTCTGTGCTACTGACCAGGTCTTTGTGAAGGGTCTTACTTGGCATATCAGAGACACTGAGAGGATAATTGTTAACATGAGCCGAGTTAGACTCTCAGCAAGGCTGTTGATGTCTGCAGAGGCTGGGCTGTGGTTCTCTAATGCTCTGGGGAAAGCTGCACCTGACACCTAATGGATGCACACAACTTACTTCAGCTCAGAAAAAAAATCTCCATTGTTTTCATTGTAGCTACATTATTAAAAGCTAAATATGTTAGCTATGTCCAGTAACCTATGCCTGACACATTTGCCCTAATATACCTATTATTTATTAGTTGTTTATATTTTATGTGTGGGTATGTATTTTCTGGAATCAGACTTCTTGAAAATAATTACATTTGAATTTTTTTCATATGTTAAGTGTGCTTGGTGCTGATGAGAGTGGTCAGTGGGTAAAGGCACTTGCTACCAAGCCTGATGTCTGAGTGTGATCCCTGGAGTTCACATGGTGGGCTGGAGGGAAGTAACGACCTATACAGGTTGCTCTCTGATGTCCACACACATGCTGTGGCACACACATGCCTACATACGCTAAACATATGTAATACATTTTTAAGAACATCTGTTTACAGTGCTAAATACATTATGGTTCCATGAATTGTTTTTCATTATATGCAATTCCCTGTGGGGACCACAGGACACGTTTAACCTCATCGCTTTGTGTCTGCGCTCTTCTTATGCTTTAAACGCTCAACATGTTCTTCAAGGAAACCTCTTGGGAAAATCTTCAACCGAAAGGTTGAAAGCAGACTGTGACTAAGCACCTTCTCCTTCCCCGAGGCCGGGCAGATGCCGGGCCTCCTTACTCCTGCAGTACTAGTGTGCTCCCACCCGTGACTTTGTACCCTAAACTCCACACTGAACACAGGGCTTTCCCACTCTAATGCTTATTAAAGAATTTTGCTCTTCCATTGTTTTTCTCTTTGTTCAAAAGCTGTAACAAAGTACCACCTTTGCTCCTGTATCTTACAATTATGACAGTATTTACATTTGGTAATTATTTATGATTTTTGAAAAATTAGTATCAGACCTGAAAAGAGGCAGGGGCAGGTGGATCACTGAGTTCAAGACCAGCCTGGTTACTTACTGAATTCCAGGCCACTCAGAGTTGCACCCTGTCCCAAAACAAGAGGAAAGAGTGATAAAGGTGAATTTGCAGAGGAAGTTGTAAGTCTAAACATCTGTATCTATATTTAGAACAGTAGGACTTTTATATGTTGTTATTTGGTTCCTTTTTTTTAAGACAAGATGTTTATGGAGAGATCAAATAGGCTAGGATTGGAACCTATGATTCCCTGGCTGGTGCTGCTAATACTGTAACATTTGGCCTGGAAAAGATTCTGTCTTTTGTAGTGTGTGTGTGTGTGTATGTGTGTGTGTGTGTGTGTGTGTGTGTGTCAGCAAGTGTTTGTTGAGTGCATCTGTTTTTACAAGAAAGGGCTGGGGAGGCCATTGGAGCTTCCTGGTTCCTTCAGTTATGCTTGGTGGTGCGTCAGGCAGAGTTGCTTTTATAGAAATCGTGAAAGCTGATGTCTGGAACATAAAATACATCCTAAGGGTGAACTTGATGTCAGGGAGACCTATTAAATTATTTTGAACAATAGCTTCTTTTCTTCCCTCTCAAGAGTGTATTGTATACAGAATCTAAAAATGTTAAGCCAATTAACCACCTTCTCAGATAAGGCTTGATTATGAAGCCTAATTTGGGTGCTCTCCCCCAAGTAATTCATGAACATGTTGTTTTTATTACTTTTCTTGTTTTTGTTTTTTGTTTTGAGACAGAGTCCCACTATGTAGCCTAGACTGGCTTTTCTATGTCTTCTGAATATTGTCTTATAGGCATGGGCACTACACATGGCTCATGCACATGTTTTATACAAGTTGTAAGATAAAAAATAAATGAACATATCAGAATACTCAGTATTTAATCTTGTTACTGAAATAAAATTCGACAGAAGTTTTAAAAGTTTATTATTTTTCTTTATTAGAGCAGGGACTGGATAATATAGAATGCTGGTTCCCCCTGAGAGTAGATAGAAAAAGAATGTTAAAGAGATTGAAGACAGGCAGCTTGCTCTGACTCAAAGCATTTCACTGTTCATGTTGCTGAGTGACCTTAAACTGCCTGATCGGACACTTTTTCTGCGCACACTGCGAAGGTAATTGCGGTACAGCATGACACTGATGACTCGAGCCTGGAACTGTTTGGAAACAATGTAGTAGAGAACAACATCGAGACATGTGCTGAGGTTCATGAGGAAGGTGGTGAAGGCTCCCCAGGGGCTGTAGCTGTTCTCCTCTCCTTGTAGCATCAGGACAGCAAAACAGATGTGGAAGGGCATGAAGCAGACAAGCACTTGCAGCAGGAGCGTGATGATGATCCGTATGGACTTCTCCTTGACCTTGGGCTTCAGCTTAGACGTCTGCCCTCGGAGGAGACTGTGAATAATGACCACGTAGCACCCAATCATGATGAACAAAGGGATCAGGAAGAAAAATATGAGCCGGGTGAAATTGAGCACATTGACAGCTTTTAAGTGGATGATGTCGGAGATCTTGAGGCAGGTGGCAGGGGAGGAGGCCTTATCTGGGTCTTCATAGAGCAGGAGCAGAGGGACTGTGGTGGTAAGGGTCATTATCCAGATCCCCACACATGCGAGCACGGCCTTGCCGGTGTTCTTCAGTTCTTTGGCGTATTTCGGCTGTACTATGGCCATGTATCTGTCAGCACTAATGAAAGCAAGAAGCCACAGAGCAAGGCTTGGGTAAAACACCACCAGGGCCCCAAGAATGTGGCAGAAGTACTCTCCAAATGGCCATTCGCCTTTTGCATAGTAAAACATCCGAAAGGGCAGACTCAGTATAAATACTAAGTCCAGTAGTGCGACATTCATCATGTAGATGGTTACTGTGGTTCTTTTTTTGGTTGTACAGCTGAAAACCCATAATGCAGTGACATTAACAAACAGCCCAATCAGGAAGATACAGCTGTAGAAGACCAGGGCTGCGATTTTGTATTCCTCTGGGTGTGAGCCATTAGAAAGAACAAGCTGGTTGTGATTGCTTGGGGTAGCCATCTTACAGCAGGTTGGTCCCCATGATATGTAGAAACTGTGAGAATTGTCGAGAAAACAGGAATGAAAACTTTGGTTGGAAATAGAGGCTCCAGAGCCCAGGACTTCTTTTTGAGGGCATTTTATACTGAAGACTCCATGTACATGCTTTAATATTGTTAAAGAACACATACCCTAGAAGTTACTGCTACTATTTACTATCTCTCTTTAACTGTTTTTATTTTTGGAGCACTGGGCATTGAACACAGGTCCTCTGTATACTATGTACCTCACGGAGCTATGAATTCCTGTCTGTCTGTCTGTCTGCCTGCCTGCCCTCCCCCACCCCCCATTACTTTTTTTTTTTTTTTGTGAAACAGGATTTCTTTATATAGCCTTGGCCATCCTGGAATTCATTATTTAGACCAAGCTGGCCTCCAGCTCACAGAGATCTGCCTGCCTGAGTGCGGGGGTTAAAGGTGTGCGCTACTACACCCAGCCCAGTGTTTATAATGTACTGGCCTGTTCAGGTCCTAAGATGGATGTTCTGGGAGACTTATCCAGTTTCATTGACCTTCTTATCTCTCTCTTCCCCAAATAATCAAAGCAGAAGACAGCAGGAATTCTCTGGAGTAATGGGAAAAGGTCCAGTCTGTATTTTAAATCTTACAAAAAGGCTTGCCAACCTTTATTATCTTTATTCTGTTTAAACATTTTATAACTCATATAAGTAATAATCAAATACTTTTCATTCATAAAATACAATCATAATTTACAAAACATGAATCAGAACACAAACAAAAGAACCAAACAGCTAGTGACTGATTCTCATGTGTGAGTGGGTAGGAACTTTGATTTTTCTCTCTATGCCTCTGCTGCCTCTCTAGCACTTAGTAGGAAATGCCAAGTGGACCATGAGTGAAGGAAATGGTGTTTGGTGAGATGATTCTCAGCATCTGTGTGGCTTGTCAGTCAAGTCTGTTGACTCTACCCCCTTTTTTTAAGTTGCAAACATTTCTGCCTAGTGTCCTATGTTCTCTTCAGATGGTCGTAGGTCTGGAATCACTACTGCCCTGTGTCATGGTCTACTGGAAACCTAGAGCAACAGGTGCTCTAGGAGTATCTAGGGCAGGGACTTCCATTACCAGGGTCCTGGAATTTAAGTGCAGTGGCATCCATGGGACATTGAGTTGAGAAGGAGCAATTGGAGGAAAAGTTCTGAAAGTCTCACCACTTTTGTAGTACTGCCCTGCCTAAAGAGTGTAAATTCTGTCAAAGAGAAGTAGGTCTGAGAAGCCCTAAGTGTGTACAGAAACTAGTCGTCCCGCCATCGTCCCACCATCAAAAACTATTTATTTAGAAAAGAAACAATTCTAACAGTGCTATAAATATGGAGCTCTCAGTGTGACATTCCCTTACCCAGGGTGTACTGCCAGCAGAGACTTTAAAGTACCGCATATGAAGGGTGGAGCCTGGGGGCGTCGCTTTGAAATATGAGTGTGTATGAGAAACTTTTTTTTAAGAATGTCACTTTGTCCAAGCCAGAGGGCCCACCCAGAACCCCCTCTGACAGGCGATTTGAATTTTTGCTTAGGCTGTGAGGCTAAGCACTGCAAGGGAATATAAATAAAAGATAAAAAATATCTCTCTGGGTTCCCTGAGGGACAAGCCTGACTGCATAGGGGTTGATGTCAAAAGTATCCCCTCTCCAGGAAAAAGACATCGGGATAGGTATGGCCCTCATGCCTCACTGGACAATGACAAGGGGACCGGAGCCATTACAAGGTCCCCTTCAAATACTGGAGGTCAGGCCTCTATCCCCGCCTTTGCAAGTTTAGAATTGCCACAGCCCTTCTATACTTAGAGAAGGGAGGAGATGTCAGGGGCAGCCCTGCTTACACACTGAAGGCCTAAAATCAGCCATAGGCCTAAAATCAGCAATAGGCCTGTAATGCATGTATACTAACACCAAGTCTTGGGTCTCAGTGGAAAAACATTGAAACAGATGGCTATAAGCTAATGTTAACAGGCAGCTTTTGTGGAAATTTACCAGCCTGAGTAGTCATAGACCTTGTAAATAGATAGCCTTGACGGATAGTACCAACTTAGATAAGGACAAGTGAATCATAGGCAGAGTCATAGTGACTTGTCCCCTGAACCTTCACCTAGCCGATACCCGGTTCTGAAGATATCTGTATTCCCCCTGAATACCCACACTCCAGTGTCATTCCCTTCCCCACATCCTGTCTTTCTGTGTTTATACCCCTGTGTGAATTAATTATGATTTGAGAAAAAATTTTTAAAAAATTTAAAAATTAAAAAAAAAGAAAACAGAGCTTTTGTGGGATGTGGCACTTGCATAACTGTGGACATGAGCAGGGGATGTCTTCAGCAGGCAGCAACAAATGAAGCACTTGTAAGACGTAATTTAAATGGGAATTGAAAGCAACCACACAGTTAACTTTCCCTGAGATATTTCATTCTGATTAGAGAAGTGGTATGTAGAGATGAGGCAGTGTGAACACAATTCATTATAATCCTATAGATGAGGCAGTGTGAACACAATACATTGTAATCCTATAGATGAGGCAGTGTGGACACAACACATTGTAATCCTATAGATGAGGCAGTGTGAGCACAACACATTGTAATCCTATAGATGAGGCAGTGTGGACACAACACATTGTAATCCTACATCATACGATGTCATTTGTCATCATTCCCAAAGCTTTAAATCCTTATATTGTAGAACTTGGAGTTTTTAGAACAAAAGAACCTATTCTCACAACTACACAAATGAACAGAAAAGCCAATGCAATCAGTTCCTGTAACCTGTTTTACATCCTATTAGAAGTAAAGTGTACCTCCCTATGCTATCTTATTTTGCTTTTGTTTGTTGTTGCCTCTGCTGCTGTTTTTGATGCTGTTTAAATAAAGATCTCACTACAAAGTCAAAAAAACAAAACAAAAAAAACCAAAACAAACAAACAAAAAAGAATGTCACTTTGTAACATGCTTATATTTAATTCAGCTCTGAGTCTCTCTTTAGTGAAATTATAAGGACGATTAATAGCCCGTGGCTGGTTGATGAGAATCAGTTTGAACAATCGTGTAGACAGGACGAGATACATGTGTGTTTTCTCCTTCCTTCCTGGTGTTGTTTGCCACATATTTGGCTTAAATATGATTTTGGAATAAAATTGTATATATCTGAAAACCTGTATTACAATTTCCCAATAAAGCTGAGAATGGTGGCACGTGCTTTAACCCCCGCACTTCTGAGGCAGAGGGAGGGGGATGTCTGTTTGAAACCAGTTTTCTCTACATAGTCTAACTCCTACACCCCCAAATATTTATATAACTAGAATACTAGTTTCTATGTAAATGAGAAAATTACTGCATAGGAAAGTTAAATCTTAACCATTAATCTCAGAGACTTAGAGGCTTAAACATTTTAACTCTCTGTGAGTTTTAAAGAAACATTCACAAAGTAATGAAGTTTCCTGGTCTTTCCTCCATTTACCTGTCCCCTGATGTTGTCATGGAAACGCCTGTATCTACAGGCTGTCCTTCCCTGGCTGCTTTTTTGTAGTCCACCTGCTCCAGTCTCACTGTGCTTACTTGTTCCAGTGTGCTGCTTGTATCTCCTCATTACCATATGGACTAGGTTCTACAAGATTTTGGGTGAGCATTGAAAACTGTCTTTCAGGCTAAGTTTTGAAAACTTAAGTACTATGGTTATCTGTAGTTTTTTTTTTATTGAAACCAAGTAATTTCATGAAACAGTATAATTGAAACTAAATGACAAAGACATTGAATTATGTTATGATGTATTATGCCATCAACATAATGTGTTAAATGGATGGGAAAGACGGCGAGGCCTCAGATCCACACCGAGAGCTACTGGCAGCTCCTGTGCTAAAAGGGGGAGCAATAGGCCTCCCAGGGAAGAGCACACCAACTGGTCATCCAGTACTAAACGGTCAGCCTTGAAATCACACGTGAGTAACACTACACAGATGAGCGGGCTATATATATTTAGATTGTGTGTGTGTGTGTGTGTGTGTGTGTGTGTGTGTGTGTGTGTGTTTAACAACAGTTAAAAGAGAAGGAGGCCATGAATTTGTAAGAGATTAAGGAGGTGTAGGTGGGAGGGTTTGGAGGGAAGAAAGAGAAGAAATGTAATTATATTGTAATCTCAAAAATAAAATGAAAGCATCTACAACTCTACACTTACTATTAATATAAAATACTGAAAATGAGTGCCGAATCCTGGAAAAAGAATAACCGTTTGTTTCAAGGTCTTCATCAGATGGAGCAGAAGTTTTGAGTTTAGTAAACACAACATAACTTCAGATAATGATTTACCATGAAATTAATTGGATGCAGCTTACCTCCTGTCTGTCCCAGGGCCGTCTGAGAGGTGCCGGAAAGAGAGTGCTCAGAGCCGCCTGTGTTAGGTAGATGGTGTCTTTGAATTGTTTTTCTTTTGTCTGTGCCGGCTCCTCCTGTTGAAGGATTGTTGAGATGTAGTACCGATAGTGGGGTTGGTCTGTTGGGCTGTGAGCACTGCTCTGCCTTTTTCAGGAAATGCTCTGAAATAAGCTTCTCAGCGTGGGACTTTACCCTGGATGTGGTTTTCTCTTTCACAAGTGATTTGTTTATGAAGTCCTGCCCAGCTTAGGCTGCTCTTGAAACAATGGCATATCTTGAAGAAAGGCATATATAAGAAGGGGAAATTGAACTAACTCCTTGTTTTGATATTTGAAGTCTGTGTCACTTACAGGCAGGAGATTTGACATTGGGCAGAGCAGGTTCAAAGCCTAGCTGCTTTCTAAGCTCTGTGACTTTGTCTAGCTTTTTGTTGTTCCTGTGTGGTTTCTATCCAGTTGAAATACATAGCACTCATGTGATAGGGTTGAGAACTCCATTCCAGAAAAGCCCTGCTTGTAAGAGAGCACCTGTTACCTCTGCCACCCTAGTCATCATCTCCGTGGCCTCTGCTCTCTCTGCTCTGCTCTGCTCTGCTCTGCTCTGCTCTGCTCTGCTCTGCTCTGCAGATCTATTTCTGGATCCTGTAGGTGCTTCCTACACTTTGTCCATTTTCTATCTCAAGGCAGCCTAGCAGTAATTTTTTTCTTGCATGAATATCCTTGCAAACCTTAGGAAGGACTGAGAAAGTGTTGGAAGAATATACATGTAGTAGTGTTCTCAGCTGAGAAGGGAAGTGAAGCCCACAGAAGGGAAGATTGGGCAGCCCAGATCATCGCTGTCTAGCTACTCTGAGTTTAACTTTCTCTTTGTAGTGACCCAGCCCTTGTCCAGTTCAAAGTATCTCTATATCAGCCACACATGATTGGCCAGCTTTTTAAAGGAGTCTAAGCTTGCCTGCTTCAGTGTCTGTAGTGTGAGCAATTTAAGATGGTTCCTGTCATCTTGTCCTGCCTGTTTTGAGACAGGGCCTTATTGGCTTCCTTGGAACTATGTAGACCAGGCTGACCTTGACCTTACCCTAATCTTCCTGCCTCTGCCTCCTGAGTGCTGGACTCCAGCTGTGAGCCACCACAGCTACCCTGGCTTGAACTTGAGGTGGTTTGAGAACCTGGCTTCTTTTCTCAGAAGTGCTAGACTTTCATTCTACAAAAGGTACTGAAGTTACCTGTGGTAACAAACTACTGGTAGCCATGGTACCGTCCAGATCATGTATGTGATCATGAGCAGTTCCTGTGTGGGTGAGAGGTGACTGACTTGAAGCCCTCCCTAGACAACGCTTTGGCATTGCCGAGTTACATCACAGTTGTTTTAGATGGAGTTATGTTTTTTCATATGCTACACAGGAATGTGATATTTCAGCTGCATGGAAACCTCCTGACTGGGACCCAATGTGTTCTTTACCACAGAGTCTTTGAGAAGGTTTCTGACAGGAAGTACTGATTGGCATTCCCTGTGCTGCTACAGTCAACAGATGAGGAGTCTGGGGTCTCTTCTCATTAAGACTTGAGTCTTTTCACTGTGCATTTTTAGTTGAGAACTTCCATTTCTTAGTGCAAGTTACCCAGATTAGGAGCTTCCCAAAAGCTCGGCAGAACCCACTTGTAGACCCTCCCTTTGACCACCTGACAGCTGCCATTTGTCCTCTCCTGTTTCTTGAATTTCTCTACCCTCTAAAGCTGGACTAGCCTGGACAGTTCCTTGCCCCAGCTCTGTGCCTTGTGTTTGTGTGGCCATCCCACAGACAGTTGTCTTTGATGCTCTGCCACTACACCATGTGCTTGGGGTGGTGACACGAGTTGCATCTAAGGAGCATTTAACGTTGTTTGATAGATGAGAAAGTGAACATATGGAGACGGGGGAGTAGTGGATGGTCATCTGAGCCCAGAGCCATCTGCAGGGACACTGACCAGTCTGAGATGTGGTGAAGGTCTGTGTGCTCGAGGCCATGAGATGGCCCTCCTGTGCTCCATACCTTGACTGCAGGTTGGAAAGGGTCACAGAACTAAAGTAGTAGCTTCAGGCTGAATGACAGTAGACAGTGGATCAAGGGTCAAAGTTTATGTTTCCTTTGCCTGAAAGAAATCGTTACTCTTACTCAGGGACTTTTTGACCATGCCTGCAGTTTTCATCTTCTCACTGCACTTTGGAATGTGAGAGGATTCTTGCCAAATAAGGGTTTCTTGTACTCCCAGGGATGACAGGGTTCCCTGCACTTTATGAAATGTTTTGGTTTCACTTTGAGGTTTGGTTTGAGCATTGAAGATTGTGTAGGTGTGTTTATATATTCAGTAGGAGAACCCAGTTTTTAAGTCAATATGATTCAGTTAAGACACTGTTGGAAGTAGAGTGTTATTACATATGTGCAGCGTGTCTTCATATAGGATGGGCTCCAAGGGTGTTACTACATGTGTATAGCATGTCTGCATGTAAGATGGGCTCCAAGGGTGTTATTACATGTGTGTAGCATGTCTCTATGCAGGATGGGTCTCCTTTGTTAAAGCTTTGTTTTTGCCACAGACACAGTTATATTTCCTGATCTCAGTGGTTGACAGCCATAACAAGTGTGAGAGCATATTACCCTGATGATCTGCCCATGCTGTGGCTCGAGGACTGCTGTAATACTGTTCACCTGGCTGTCCCTGCATGGGGACAGTGGACAGCAAGCCCTCAGTGGTTGGTAGCTGGCCAGTCCCTAAGGAAAAGAGCAAGAATGACAGACAGAGACTGTTCTGTGAGAGGGGAGGCGTCCTGACCACGTGCCCCCAGCACTCTGATCGACAGTTCGGAACCCTTGTCCCCTACCCCTCACTTTCTCAGACTGTCCCAACAATTGTTGCCTCAGAAGGGCTGGGTCCTGGGGTAGAAGATCGGGTGTTTTGAATAGTAGGAATTTCTGAATAAAGTCTTAAGAGATTATTTAAATGCATCTTTTAATCCCAGTGATTTATAGATATAGTCTTATAGCCAATTTAGTTTGAACAGAAATGTCTTTATGTTGTTAATTTAGTCTTCCTTAATTCTGCCTCTTTTGTGCATCTTAAAATGTTTATGAACATTTAATCAGACAGTTACTTACCTCATAAGAAATGACTTGAACCCAGATATGACCATCAATATGCTAGATGAGTTTAGCTAAATAAGCAACAAAAGTGTTTTCTGTCATTAAGAAATTCTCAGAGGAAAGGACTTCTACCTGGGAGCTCATCAGACCTGTAGCTATTGAAGTCTTAGGACTCCAGACCAAGAGTTCACAGGCTTATTCTCTCTCAGTACAGAGGTCCAAGCTGATTGATAACCCCAGAGCTATTGCGATACACTTGACGCTAAACTGCAAACTCAGATTTCAGTTACAGGAGATTCACACAGAAGTGAATATGTGGGAGTATTGTGTACAACACTAGGAAGTCACTATTGAGGAGAAAGAAGACTGACTGTGGACCAGGGCTGTGATGTCCTCCATGTCTTCCAAAAGTCCATGGTCAAGCGTTTAGTCCTCAGCCTGGAGTTCATTCTCAGAAGGTGGTGGAGTCCTTAGGGAGAGACATGAAACCTTTCCATAGGCTCAGACCGAAGCTGCTAAAACTGAGCCCAGATGAACCATCTGTGTCTAGAGCTTTATCTCGGGCACGTGTGACAGTAATGTAAAGACGGTGAGCACTGAATGGTGAAGTAAGAGCTTTGCTCCCAGGTACGTGTGAGGGGGAGGATTTTAGTGTACAGGCGTCTGTATGTTAGAACTATATCTAATGTTTCTAATTACTCAGCTGATTTTTCTGCCATTATCTGTATCATTGGGACAGGCAGTCGGAGTGTGCCTCTATCAGGCAGTGCCTCTTACCCGTTATCTCACTCTGTTCCTGCTGTCCCTAAGGTGTGTTGAAGACACTGAGGTATTGATGACGTGGACTGTTTCTGGTTTTCAGACAGTATGCTCTGTTCTGTATCATGCACTGTGGTCATATACTTATCATCATTGTTATAGTTGATTCTCAGAAAGAGTCATTTCTGAGGGAACAGACAGACCCCTCCACAGAAGACTTCATCTCCAAGGCTGGATTCTGCCTGCCAGTAGATCTGTGTCTAGGAAGAACTCTGCCATCTAGTGGGCAAGTTGAACAGACACCATACCCCCTCCAAACAAACAAATAAACAACCCCCAAAACAAAAAATCCAGAAACCAAAAAACCCAAATGTGTTCACATCATCAACAAACAACATGTCTGCTAACTTCATTTGTGATCACAAAAACGAAAGCTAAACCTGCAAAATAGCATCACCAATGTGACGGTTACTCACAGAGATGAGGATTTACAGTGTGGGTGCTGGGCACCTGTCACCTAGAAACCTATGCATGTTGCTGGTGGGAGTTAAAACACAGAAGGCCTTTTGATATTAAGTACTAAATGAAGATGCGCAGATGCTATGGTCCAGGCAACTCCTTGACATACAACCAGTGAGACCAGAAGACAGATAAAAAGCATTCATAGCAGCCTTGTCTGTAACAGCCCCAGAGTAGAAACAACCCATCATTAACCAGCTGTAGAATGGACACTGGAATGCTCTTAGGTCAAGAGAGTGGTGTACCTACAAGAATGAACCTCATTACAGAAAGCCCCGTAGGAAGGAACCTGTGGTGAGTGATTCCTCCATCAAAACAGCGACCACCACATGTGGACTCCTACACACACTTGGCCTACTTCTTGGAAGCCACACACAGTTCAGATAGACAGGGAGCAGCAGATGCCTGTAGGGCAGGGCCCTAGGACAGTTTTCCAGTAGCCTTCACCGTAGGTCCAAAGAGATGCAGGCAGGAGGAGATAGAACCTGGAAGGAGAGAGCCCTGTGAGTAGGCTGTGTGTGGAGTAGTGACTAGGCTCTCTGCAGGAAGGAGTTGGGAATAAATGTCCCCTCACCTCAGGCCTCCCTTCCCTAACTGCCCTCCATGCTCCCTTTTCAGGACTCTGGCTGGAAGCCAGGTGCTCCTAGCTTTTGGTTAGATTCCACCCTTCAGCCTCAGGGACAGAGCAAGGTCAAGCAGGGGAAAGTAGTAGAAGAGTTTTGAGGACACCACGGTTTCTGTATGTGTGGTACATTATCTCTCCCCTC